ACAGCACCCGGTCCGTACTGGGGCCAGGCGGGGAGCCGTTCCCGTTAATACCCAGGTCGTTTTGTTCCCCTCCGGTTAAACGGGGCTGCCGCTCCGGGGCTGTTTGAGTCTCTGTCCCTCTCTTTTGTTTCACTCCATCTCTCTCTCTCTCCTGCTTTCATGTACAAAACATACAGGTCTGGGTTTTTTTGTCACTCTAACCGCATCCGGACTCTATTAAAGTTCCTGGCGCTGGATAAACAATGCAACTGTCGCGTGCAGCAGTCTGAAAATAATTGGATTAGCTCAAACATATCAGCTAAATAGAGACAGTCCCTGCTCAGACAGACAGAGTAAATGTCACCCTGGAAAAACCCTGAAAACTGATCTCATTCATGCCAGGCAACCCTGCAGCAGCCTCCTCGGAAAAAAAAAAAAATAGAGAGAAAAAAAGAAAAATAAAAGAGAAAAAAAAAGAGTTTTGACTAATCGCCCTTTCCTCTGCGCACACACACAAACACACACCCCTCGGCTCACACATTCTCTTCGGTGCACACAAACATGTGAACCAGGAGTGTTCAGCCGTCGGGAGCGCAGCCCCCCGCACCCCACTCCGCGGGGTGTCACAGCCCTTGGACCCTCCAGCTCCCGCTGAGAAAGGAGACAGGGGGAACACTCGTGCTAATAACCTAGTCTTTCACTGGGAATGGTCAAAATCCCTGGCACGGAGCTGGCTGGGGCTGGGGGCTGCGTGGGCAAACTCTGCGCAGCGCTCCGGGGAACTGCCCGCAGCCCCGGGCGCCGCATGGGAAGAGGCCCTGGGAAGAGCGAGGCGTAGGGCGGGCAGGGGAAGTTGGCCGGGATTTAGCAGCATTATTAAAATACAGAGAGATCACTAATGCTGCGGTTCCCTCGGTTTCGCTTCCTCCCCGGGCGCCGCAGCTGAGCGCCCCGTGGGTCGGGTCGCCCCCGGGACAGGAGCCCTGCGGCACCGGGTGGGTGGTTTGGGCTCCTGGGCCGAGTTCTACCTCCAACACGCGTTGTACAAGGGGGAATTTGGTTATAAACCCAGCAGAGCAACCTGTGGAGTAGGTAAAGTGTGGTGTACGTCCCCCACGAGGGTTTCAGCCCCCGCTGCGCATCCCTCGGATGCTCTTGTGCATCTCTGCGTACAGAGCAGAGCGAGGGGCACGGGCACATCCCCTTGCCCCGGCCACTTTCCCCCATAGCTTCCTCTCCCGAGCAACGGGGATGAAGAAGCCAAAAGCCCTACCTGTGCTTGACCGTGCTTTCGGTCGCGATTTACACCCGAACCCGGTTGGTGATCCTCCTAAGAGGCTACTGGGGGGAAAAAGTCCAGAGCCATATTCTGGGACATACGGTGGGTAGGTAGTGATGGGGTGATGAGCAGAGGAGGTGGCTCCTCCTAAAGAGCCCATGCTGCTCCGAGAGTGAGAGGACTCCAGCTTCATGGTATCTGCCAGGGACACCTGGTATTTGATGCATTCCTTCTCGTCCTGCCGGGTGGAGCCGGTGGAGCCGGGGGTGGAGATGGACGGATCCGGGGACACATCTTTAGGAGGGGTCGGCGGGAACGTGAAAAGGTGCGGGCTGGAGTGGCCGGCGGATAAAGTGGAAGAGGAGGCGGGTGGGTAGACGGAAAGGGGTCCCGGTGAGCTGTGATGGATGGAGGTCTTGGAGAAGGGGCTGAGGTTCCAAGGGGAAGCGCTGTGGTGGCTGCTCAGCGCCTTGCTCCCATCCAGCCAGGGCAGCGAGCCGTGCAGCAGCGGGGGGCGGCACACCTGGCTCCCTGCTCGGAGAAAACACAGACACACGTCGGTCACATCCCTCTGCCACCCTGGCAAAGCCCCCCGTGGGGGTCCCGGGACGTGGTGCCCTTCCCCCCCCTAAAGAGTTCAGCATGCGAGAAGAGCAAGCAAAATTACATCTGATGTGAACGCTCGCTCCTCTTTCAAAATTAAAATTTAAAAGCTAGAAAGAGCCCGAAGTGGGCAGCCCAGGTCCTGCTCCGGAAGGAGTCTCCGGGTCGGGACCCCTCGAGCAGAGGTGCCAGCGCTGTGACACGGGATTTGGCTTCAGTCTCTTCCTTTTCCAGGCAATCCCATGAAGACTTTGAAGCAAAGACCCTGCGTGAAATTGCCAAGCCCCGACTGCAGAAATCATATTTTTTATTAGCTGGAAAACGATTTCCCGACTGCAGCCGGAGGCTATAAAACCTGGGAGTTTTCTGGCCAAACGAAGAAGACCAGAAGATTGCCACAGACATGATAATAACCTTTCCAATGGGACTGACAAACTTTGCAAACCGCTCGGTTTGTCTTTTCTTCTTCCATGAGGCTGCACAGAAATGTTAGATGCCTTTTTTTGCGGCGATAAGGCACACGCAGAGAGTACCAACTGCCTTAAAAGAAACTCTCCATCCCCTTCTTGTGACATGAGACGTTTCGCTTGTCTTTTAAAGTACAGACCTAGACTTTGTATCTATTAAAAAATCCACTAGATTTACACTGTCAAATCTTTTTTTCCTTGGTTATAAATGTTCTTAAGGGATGGTACCTAATATTTTAAATTAATTTCGGCCCTTGCTAAACAAATAGAAAACAATATATCCAAAGAATCACATCTACCTAAATCCCCAGCAACTTGAACAAATGGCTCTAAGCTGGAAAACACAGTTATTCAACTGGAAGAGAGCAAGTTTGTGCCTGCTGATAAAGCCCTGGAAACTCTCTGACATCTAGAGCGCCTTAACCTCTGTAGGTATTGTATAGAGACTCTAAATATACAGAAGGAGAGATGCAAACACAGATTTATAGAGGCACAGATAGTTAAAGAACTAGTGCAGTGTACACACTTCTGTTTGCATGGGAGCTCGTGTATGTCTAGAAAAGCTCCAAACTGGTTTTCACCATACCAGACATTTGTGAACAATACTGAAAGTAGCTGCTCGAAAGGAAGGGAAGGTGGGTTATACGAATAGAAAGGGTCAAGATTCATTATCTTCTCCAGGAAGTAGCATAGTAAATAATATTCAGGCTAGATCAGAGAGACCGCATTTCCACTTTCTGCTGATATATTGGGAAAAAAAGAAATGAAAGGAAAGAAAAGAAAGAAAGGACAAAGGCTGCTGATCCTTAGAAATAATTGTTTTAAAGGGACTAATAGCAGAACAATGCAGTTACTGAGCGGAGCCTAATGCAGACTCGCACTCAACAAGTAGCTGAGGGCTGGGAGCTGCCCCTGAACCCGCTCGGCTCCATCTCCACTCGCTCAGCCCACTTTCTTCTCCTTGATTTTGGGGTGATTTCCACTGCAAATCACGGGTATTTAGATTTGCCACGAAAGAGGTCACTGTCCCGCTTCACAAATTAACATCAGTTCTTTTTCCCTACTTTTTTATTTTTCCTCTTTTCCCTAGTATTTTTAACTATACAGGTAAACTCCAGCTATAAACACTGAACCTCTCTGATTCTTCATAAAAGATGCCATAAAGCACTCATCCCTTCGTGCACCTGGGCCCCATCAGCCACAGGTATTTCACCTCCTTTCTAAAAGCTGTGACCCAGGAACAAAATTCACACAGTGGATCATTACCTTCCTGCAGGACCCTCAGGAACACGCACCAGGTCTGATATCTAATTACGCTACAGGCTATATTTTTTTTCCTTTCTTTCTTATTTTTTTACTCACGCTATGGTGTTGCCCTGGGTGTGTGCCTGCAAAACTTTCGACCCAAGCCTAACAAGCTCACCAAGTGCGAATGAAATAGCCCAAGCGTGAGGACAGCGGGGTCATTTTCACAGCCCTGCTTTCCTGCTTGCTTCGCTTCCCCAGAGCAGCTTAATCGTGCAAAAACTAAACGCTGTATGAAAACATTAACTGTTAACCTAATTAAAGAGAGGGGGGAGAAACCAAAGCGAAAGAGAGAACTCAAGTGGAGGAAAACAAGAGAAAGATGAAAGGGAAAGCAATAAGAGAAGGAGAACAAGAGAGGGAAAGGGAGAGAAGAGGGAGAGAGATGGGAGAGAAAAAGAGGACGGAAAAGAAGAAAAGAGAAAAAGAAAGATAAAAACAGAAATAAAGAAAGTGAAAGAAAGGAAGGAAGCCTGAATTTTTATTTATTTCCAATAAGCCAACCCCAAAATCCACCCGTGACGTAGTTTCCCCGGCGGCAGGAGAGGGTCTGCCCGACAGCAGCGGAGCTCGGGGCTCGGGGCAGCG